TCAAAGTAGGATAATGAGAAATAAAATTTAAATCTTAAAACACCTTCCCTGCAGTGGCACAGGGGGACAGGTAATAGGAGTAGCAATCAGTTCATCACATGTTGTGCAGCTCCCTCCTCCTCAGGAAGAGGACTCCTCACAGTCTTCCCTTGCTCCAGTGTGGATCTCTTCCATGAGGTGCAGTGCATCAGGAACAGGCTGATCCAGCTTGAGTCCCCTTCATGGCCTCAAGTCCTGCCAGCAAAGATGCTTCAGTGTGGGCTCCTCTCCTTATGGGGCCACAGGTCCAGCTAGGACCCTGCTCCAGTGTGGGCTTCCCATGGGGTCACAGCCCCTTTGGGCATCCACCTGCTCTGGCACATGGTCCTCCAGGGGCTGCAGGTGGATCTCTGCTCCACCGTGTGCCTCCGTGGCCTGCAGGGGCACAGCTGCCTCACCATGGACTGCACATGGGCTGCAGGGGAATCTCATCTCCAGCTCCTGAAGCACCTCCTGCCCCTTCTTCTGCAATTACCCAGGTGTCTTCAGGGCTGTTCCTCTCATTCTCACTCCTTTCTCTGGCCGCAGTTGCTTTTGTGCAGTAATTTTCCCCTCTTCTTAAATCTGTTATCCCAGGGGAGCCACCACCATTGCTGATGGGTTCAGCATTGGCCAGTGGTGGGTCTGTCTTGGAGCTGGCCGGCAATGCCCATAGATGAGGGAAGCTTCTGGCAGCTTCTCACAGAAGCCATCCTGCATCCTCCCCCCTCCTACTATCAAATAACACACAAACTATGGGAAATACTGCTGTGAAGATCTGATAACTTCTTCCAGAACAGCAATTTCATTGTAATTCAATTTGCAGTTTAAATGTCTAATAAAACACTGCCTAAATATCAATAGCGACTAATTCATCAAAACCAGCATATGTTCATCTTTGCAACAGAGATACCAAGGCATTAGCACGCCAGAGTAATATATAAATTTCTTTTTGGTGTTGGAAAGACCTGCAAGAAGGATAATGAATAGTTAAAGTAATACTCTCTGATAAGAATCTCCTTTCTTGTCTCTCACAGAAGGAAAGGACCACTCCT